CGGTATGACTGAAATACGCAATACACCGCAATACAGCGCAACACAGTGCAATACACTTCAAAAATTAAATCCAGTTGCAATTGCACAAAAGAAATTACCATTCCCAGCAAAGCAGGGTGATATAAAAACAACCTATATTGCTAGGTAAGTAATATCGTTGATATAACTTAACAAATCAGCAAGACTTTTATATTGTCCGGTTGGCAGCCATGGTGGCGAGTGGCTCTTCTTGGATATATTACTGGCCAAGAAGAGCTACTCGCCAACATGGCGACTGACCAAACAATGAAAAAATTGTCAAGTTGAATCAGCAATATTAATTACTGTGCACTATATTTAGCTTTTATATCGCCCTATTTTATTTGAGATTACCCTTTCCTGTGTTTACTTGCAACTGGACTTGTATTATCAAGTGTATTGCGCTGTGTTGCGCTGTATTGCAGTGTATTGCGCATTTCAGTTACACCCGTCTTTATCTGCAACATAAAGCAGTCATCAATTTACATTTGATAAATTAAACAACAGTGACAGCATCAGTATTTCTCATTAAGCCATTTTGTGTATTGGATTTATTGCCAAACAGAACCAAGTATGTATATAAAGGAAAAGTGAATTTACAGGTTCAAAAATATACACAGGCTATCTTTTAATTTTTTTTTTCTTTGGGGAAAATAGGATTGTAATGTTCAATAAACTTTGAACTTCAAAATTTAGCAGTTGCTACTTGTAAGTTGCAATTTAATGATACATTTTACACTGAAAGATTCTGTATTTATCACAAAATATAAAAAGACTTGAGATGGTTATACGTATTAACACTGGAGATTAAAGCTGAAAGAGATCATGAGATGCTGATGAAAAAGTATATGTCATACACTGTTGTCAAAGAGCTTTTCAATTTACAGTCAGGAGTCATCTGGATATTTCAAACTTGCCATACTGTGTATGAATTATTGAAAATTGTTAGTTGGATTAGACATTGACATTTTTTTCTTTTATTGGGAATTATTATACAAGCAATATAATTTTCACTCTATGTAACCAATATTTTGTGCATCTGTAATAAAAGGGATACATATATTAACCATGTAGTTAACTTTGGTAAATAATAAAACTTGGTCATGCAATAGTTAACAAGAAAAGTAGAACATTTGTTAAATTGTAAAGTAATGATCAAGACAGAAGAAAATTAATATGATGTACACACCGATGCAAATTAAAAGAAATATCTAGTTTGTGATCAGGACAAGGTTTTATTTATTTTACAATTCAGTTTCAAGACTGGTTTCTCACTTTGTTCTACAAAAAAGGCAGAATATCTTACTTATTTTTAATATGTAAATTTTGACACAATGCGACACAACTTTGCCCACATGATAAAAAAAATGTGAAACACAGCGCACATTCCTCAGCTTGTTACTAAATGTACACCAGCAAAACCATTCCACACTAAAAGCCATTATGTACTTCTGCAATTGCTGTTAAAAACCTTGATAATCATTCCATACTTTTCATAAGTTAGATAATAAAAAGATATCTTCATTAGATAAAGTTTATTATTTATCTTCTTGCTGGACCACCTGACCATTGAAAAGCTGTTGAAAGAGCATGAGACAGCCTGTATTTTAATCATATCTTTTTGCCATTAATGTACTTAAGCCTGTTTCTAGGCAACTTCTCAAACATTAATAGTCCAGCAGCCCTCTCGATGGAATCAACAGGCACCTGATAGTTAAATAAATTAATATTGTCTGGAAGGGCTTGGTTAGGCATTACAAATGACTGTAAGTGGAAGTCACCTTTTTCATTCTCCATGACAATTACTTTGAAAAAATGTGTTGGAACAGCTACGTTGTTTTTTCCTATCACTTCATACTTTACATAGGTCTTGCCATCTGGTTCTTTTCTAAAATGCAAAATAAATAAAAAGAGAAGTTTAGTTATTTTCAGAAATAACTGAGCCCAATATTATTATCAACTATTACAATTTGACAGCTTTTTGTGGACTTCAGAATAAAATTAGAATATGTCCAGATATTTGAGTTAAATTATACAAATGAATGTGTAGAAGAAAAAAATGTCATTTCAGTTACAAGAAAAAATAAGGATTTATTTAACTTGTGCCAAACAGTCAAAGCATGAGTGTCTTTAATAGTTACCTAGGAAGATACAAAGGCCCTGTACAAACATAGACATTGGGGTGATTTTTGGTCAATTTTCTGACATAATTTTCCAACTTGTTCCATGCATCACGATTGAAACCTTTGCCAACCTGAAAAGCAATAAAGACAACAATTAACAAATGTTTTATAGTTAAATTATTTTAAAACCATGATATTCCATTTTCCCCCAAAATGCATTATCATTTTGTTTGCAAAATTCAGCCACTTCTTGTATTTACTCTCAGTATAAGTAACAATCAGCACTAAATGGAAAATTTGAGATATAACTGTATTAAAAATCATGTAACACACTGTTTAATCACTTACCAAATTTACTTAAAATAATAACTTATATATACTTATGTTATAAAATTAGTTTTTCAAATACTTTAAGTTAAGAAATAAAGTGAAGAAGAGTCACCACGTGGTTGCCTGCCATCAATACTAAGAAGCACACATGTACCTGTGGGGAAATATTACTAAGAAGAAATGTTTCTCCCATAGCTTGTAAGGAAGACCTGTGGTTCGCCGCTGCTGCCAGGTGCCCTCGATCATATCCACTGCCTTTATAATCCTCATTCCTCGCCCTGTGATAGGGATGAAAACTTTCATCTTCAAAAAACTCACAATGTTTCCTATCGACGTATTCATTGTAGGCAACATTTTCCGGAGTCAGGTGCTCGAAGACCCAATTTGCGGTGCGATTTCGTCGGTCGTAGGAGATTACGTAGTCCTTGAGAGTGCGGACGTTGTCAAGGCCAGGAAAACCGAATCGCATTATTTGAGAAACCCTGTTATTTCCAGTCGGTGCATCCCCCTTCGCAGAAATTTCTTGTCGGATCGGAGTGACTGGTACCTGGAGTTCTGTATTAACTTTTGCTTCGGCTACTGGCAGTGAGAAATAATGTAGAGGTCCATTGCATGATGCACAGCTATCATGGCACCGTGTTCCGTAGATCTTCCCAAGAAAACTTCCAATTCCCAGACACGACAAAGAAGAGGCTACCGTGGCCCAGCGTATTTTTGACATGTCAGTAGCTGTTTAAAAATAGCGTTGATATCACTTGAGTTAGCAAATTCGATACCTACTGTTGGGATTCGATGCTATATAAATCTGTACGTGATTGTTGGATAAGCGACTGCCACCAACATTACATGGGGAAATTACCTTTTGGGGATTCCGAGTCTCGTTTCAGAAACTGTCCTCGTTTTCAATCAGTTATATTTGACGCAATTTAAGTAAAATATATGTAAAGACTCATCAAATTGTCGCTATTTAAGGTCACTGTATATGCGTATAAATGAGCGGTTAATATATATAGCATAAAATCTTTGCAACAGATTAATGAAAAAGATATGTAGATGGGACTATCTTGGTTAGCGCCATCTAAGGACATCAAAATTATAGATGGCGTCAACAAGTAGAGGGTAAGTTGAACACAATCTCTCATGAAAACTGCGCTTTTCATTCGTGAAAAATAGGAATGTTTCAGGAAAACACTTAGAAAATCAAAGTGTATTCCACATGCAATTATATTGGTGCATTTGGTTCTTAGAAATACTGGTAAATCGACTGAAGGATGGAATTATGACAACCTGTCTAAATGAAACAATGGGAATTTTCAGACGAAGGCCGAACAGTGACGTTTATGTAATTTTAGTTGTTGGTGCGGTGTTGCAGGAAATGTTTCATACCTGCATTGTTTTTAACGATGTATTCAGTACGCCTTTATACAAAAGAAAGGGATATCTGTTTTAAGATTGAAAACTCTGTTTTTATCTTTTTTTTATGCAGCAGTCCTGTAAAAGCCACCGTGTGACTGAAAAAAAAACAAAAAAAAAACGGACAATTTAGATGTATAAGTTACTTCCTGGTTTTGTCAAAATAAGCATTTTATAATTCATTATAACCAGTGGTGATTTTATTTCTTAAAGTGTTTCCCAAGACCACCCATTTATGATTATTTAACATATTTTGAATAGTGATACCCTGAGATTTTTATATTGTGTGCCTGCTTAGTAGAGTAAAACTTAATTATGTTAATTTTTCTTTACATTCTTGACAGTAAATCAGATAGGCCTAATTTTAACAGATGCGATCAGAAATATATCTATGTATTTTTTTTTTATCAATTGGATTCATTTGTGAAAAGCAACAGAACAATAAAGAAGTCTATCACTCCCCTCTCCTTCTCTTAAAAAGTAATTACTGACATGATTGAGGCACACGCCAAACTCTATCCAATGACCTGACATTAGGACAATGATTTTTTAAGGAAGTTTATAGCCTATTGTATCACAAGGGACAGATTTACATATCAGTTAATGGGAGATTTCATCAGTCACTGAATGATTTTATTTTAAAATAGCATTTTAAATTAAGGATTATTTGTCTGATCTTTGTCATATTATTACTGCTGGGAGGCCAAAAAAAATTTTTTTTTTCGAGATCAGTAATATAAAAACA